TACCATTGAGAAATTATCACAAACTGAAAATTAAATATCTGCAAGGTTTCCCTTTTCAGCCTGGCTAGATATATAATTAATAGTAGACTTAGGAATGTATATTTATTACATATTTCAGAAAACTGTACATTCTTTATTGTATGTGTATGATTAAGATTAGATCTTAGTATTATGCTGTTTATGTTAATTACTGGTCTCAATATAAGTTCCTAATGAGTTATCCTTGGTACTTAACCCTACATTATGAAAAAATATTAGTGTTAATATTTATTAATTACTGTTTACTTTTTGAGAACTTGCTGTGGTAAAGGGTACGAGGAATTGGAGTTCTGACCCCCCCCCGGGAGGAGAAGGGTTGTAACGATATGCACACCTCATTTGCTTAATGAGAACTTCCTGCTTTGTCCAGAGAGTAATTGCCAGTTAAAACTTTGAGGAAAGTGTTGCAGGAATTCTCTAGTGCGGTTTCCGGACACAAGGGATGTAGTAATCAACCCCATTCCAAGGCATTTCCGAAAAGACGCTTTACAAAACGAAAGAGAGGGGCTTTTGTGCGAGTTTTTATGCAGTGAGACTTGAGAGAAGACGTTATCCGCGCCGTTGCCACATCTAGCAGCCATCGTTCTGTATAATGGCTGTAATGCTTTGATTATTTTACTCAGTAGTATTCAAGAAATTCTTATTAAGTTTTAAAATAAATATTTAAAAAACAACTGCTCTTTTCCTTTCACCCATCCCGGGTGTTCAGACATTACATTACATTTGTTAAGAATTGCTCGGCTATCTGTTAGTGGAAGATTCAACAGCATTCCTATCCTAATTGAATATTTTATAATCATTGGGCAGTCACAGATTACTTTCTTCAGCCTTTTCAAATAAAAGATCAAGAAGGCTTGGAATATTCTTTTAAATTTATTTCCTTACAACCTAATAAATATTTTATATTAGAAATTAGTTAATTCTTCAACTATTTTTTATGATTGTTGTATATATATACAGGTAGGCACACGAAAGCCCATAACATTTGTTTTATTTATAATACAATTTTTTATCATTGAAATATCATAAATTTAATCTGGAGTTAATTGTTGGAGTATGGAAAGTGGGTTTAATGAAGATTGTGATCAACAGCCGTTCTCTCAAAGCGTCATGATGTTGAGAAACATATCAATACAGTAACTTTAAACTTCTACAAGAAATCAAGACCAATATTTGCAGTGTGTGGGTGCTCAGTCCTGCATGAATTAGTGAATGTATGAAATAACACCTGTTGCTAACAGCAAAGGAATAAATCTGTTCATCAATGTCCTTGTATCACCTTTTGCTCTCAGTTTCAACAAAGGAAAAAGATCCGATGTTTCCTAACACACACACTGACTAATTCTGAATTTCCTGTAGTCAAAAATAATTAAATTATGAAGATACTTTGAAACGAGAAAAAAAAATTTAATCTGTACTTGTTAAATTGGACACAAATTGCATTTCAATTTAACAGTAAGCTTTACTGATTGAACATAAAATTATTGAGCATGAATATGTTAAATATGCCAAGTAGACCAATGGCACTGGATTACATCAAAGCAAAAGCATTATTTATTAACATTTATTTAAATAATTTACAAGATACAATTCATCCAATACTCTCTATATTTCAATTAACATTAAGAAGTAATCTTCTTCCTATTGTTTTCTAAAGCATTTCTCAAGCATCAACAATTTAAAATTACACAATTACACCTATCCCTCAATTAACAAAGTACTTGTTTTACACGGTTTAAAAATTAATGAATTTCAAAAGCTTGGTAAAAATGTATATTCGGCTTCATATAAACAAATGCATTTATTTGAAGTCATTTTGGAATCTCATACCTTTGGTAACACTGGTGGCAACAACACGGATGAGGACCCCCATAGTATGTACATCTAATTCACAACAGTAAAGCTATTTGGTTCATGTGAACTAGTACAGTATTAGTATTTTAGCAGCAAAGATTACACCATTTTTATCTACATATTTTAATGTTTACTTGTAAGTTTTCAACATTTATATTTTTTGTGGCATTTTTTATAATTTATGTAAATTTTTTAAAGTATTATAATGCCAAAACGATTTTTAAAAAAAAATCAAAAATGAAATTAGAAGCAAAAATTAAAATATTAGATCATCTATGTAATAGAGAAGGAGTAACAGATGTTGCTAAATACAGTCAAAAGTCGTTAATCCGGACTCGTCGGGACTTCGGCGATTCCGGATTATAGATCATCAGTTTAAACCTCGTAAGATGGCAGGCAGAAATTCTAAAATTAAAAATATGAAACCGTAATTTATGAAATAAAGAACAATTATGATCTAAAGGGTATCAAAATTTACAAAAAAAAAAAAGCTTAATATTTATTTGTTTACTTTATTAAACATTTCTTTCAATGTAAGTTGTTTAAGTTGCTTCATTTTATGTGATACTAATACTTTCTCTTTAATTCTATAAACAGACATAATTTCTTTTCAGTTAAAGAGTTCTGCTGTTCAAGTCCCGTTAATTGCTGTGCCGAGAATACCGACTAACTGGTCAATGGAAATTTTTTCGTTTTCACTAACCTCTCTGTCACATTCTTCATGTCTTTATCCATTTTTTTCAGCAATTTCACTTTTTGTTTGTTGGACATTGAAACATACTTTCGTTTTGTAGATCCTTTGGAAGTTCCAGCATCGGAAATTCTATTTGACATAATCGAAAGTTCAAGTTTACTTTTATAAAATTGCTCTTACAGTCTGCAAAAAATAATAAGCGGGATCCTATTCGAAGATTAAGGAACAACGCAATCATTAACATTAACTGAAATAGATAATTAGATAATTTTAGCCTACACACCGTCCGTTATACATTAAACGCGCAGGCGAAAACGTATTCTGCACTTGCGCACACGCATATGCGCAGTAGTCAAGGTCTTACACGCACGCGTAAAACACATGCGCAGAAAGTTTTTAGCTTTGAGGTCCGGATTATGGGTGTCCGAATTAACGACTTTTGACTGCATTACTCAAAGAATGAAGCCACAATAAGGACAATTAGAAAAAATGAAGACTGCTAGAAAAAGTGTACCAGCTGGAGCTTGCAGCAGTAACAGCATAATTTCGTATGTAAGAGATGATACAATGGAAAATATGGAAAAGGCATTAGTGACAAGATTTATTGATTTTATAAAGCACTTAAGAATCAGTCACAGTCGACTTCGTCAGATGAAAAAAGGTATCTTTTTCCACAAGTCATGGTTGGTTTGACAAATTTAAACATAGACGTTATTTAGATAATCCAAGATTGAAAGGAGAAAGTGCATCTGCCGATTTGGATGCAGCACAACAATATCCAGAATAATTTGCCAATACTGAATGGCTGATATTGCTGACAACTCCAGATTGTTTTGGAAAAAATGTCTAAAAGAACCTATTTAGATAAAGCTTGCAAATCAGCTAGTGGTCATACGGTAGCGAAAAGTCGTATAATAATTCTTTTCTATTGCAACACTTCAGGTGATTACATAATGAAATGAAACCATTGGTTATTAAATCAAAAACACCACACGCATTTAAAGGAACAAATATAAATAAACTTCCTATTTATTGGATGGCTAATGAAGCACGGGTCACTTCATACCTTTCAATGAATAGTTTCATAACATGCAAGTCCCAAATGTCAAAAATTATTTAAGTAAAAAGGGATTGCCTTTTAAGGCTCTTCTATTAATTGATAATGCACCCGGTCATCCTCAAGATTTACAACACGAAAAGTAGATGCTGTCTTTTTACCAAAGAACACAACTTCCTTATTACAGCCATTAGATCAAAAAATAATTTCGACTTTTAATTCATTGTATCTGAAACAGACCTTCAGGTATATTTTAGAAAAAATGGAGAATGCTGAATCTCTTACTCTTATGGATACTTGGAAGAAGTTTACAATCTTAGACTGTGATAAGCATGTTGGAGTGTCATGTACTCATATTAAACTATCAACGCTCAACACATGCTGAAAAGCAATATGGCAGGATGCTACTAAAGATGAGAATGATAGATTACCATTAGAGCATGAATATTCTCAGATCACTAAATTGGCCCAAACTATAGGAGGAGAAGGTTTCGAGGATTTAGCTCAGGCAGATATGGAAGAAGTAAATGAGGATGAGTTAGTCAACAACTCATGAAACAAATAAACACGGATGAAGACAATGATTCTGATGAAGAGTAATCTGAACCAGATGCGTTCACAGCAAGAATCATCAGGTAGGACTTGAATTGGGCAGAAAATTAGGTAATAATTTTTTACAATAAGATACGATTATTGGAACAAGCTCTCCGGTTCCAACGGGAGCTTAATAAGTGCTTAAATCAAATGAGGAAGTTTACAAAGATTTCGGAAAAAAACCTAGGCAATTGTTAAAGTACGGATTTTACTACAGTCTTTTCGATCTAAGATCTTTCCTAATTCGTCAAACATTGAAGCAGAATCTTATCAAGAATGCTCAAGTGATAAAAGTGACATTATACCAATCAAGAAGAAAAGGCCAATAGTTCATGAAAATGATGACAGTCATTAAACTTATAATAATTTAGCACGTTTCTTCATTTTACATGGTTTTGTACGGAAACTATCTTACATATAAATCCAAGGATAGGTGTAATTCTTTATTTAAATAACTTACAAGATACAATTCATCCATTACCTGAAAACAATATTCTTTCTTTTTTAAAAAAACAGGCATATATAACACAAGCAGAATCACAGGAAAAAAATTACAAGCAATCTTATCCACACAACATTTGGGACACTTAAAAAAAAAAAACTTATATAAATGCAATAAATAACTGTGGCATACATTATAAAACACTTCTGGCAGCAAAAATATCCAAATATGTCCCACTTAAAATTCTCTTTTCATAGTTAATTACAAAATATTTCGAATTAGAAAAATAAAAATTGCAAAATAAGATCATGTCAACTTACTGGTGTTGACATAATTATCTTCACTGGTTTCTCATTCATCTCTCTCTTGGGCTTTTTTTCAATGTCTTGTCTTAAGTAGATAACAGGTGGCTGATGGACTAATGCAGATTTCTCATCATTCTGGCCAACAGGTGGCTGATCGACTAATGCAGATTTCTCATCATTGTTATCTTTCAGGCTAAACAAAGATTTTATAAATAGGTATGTACATAAAATATATTAACTAGTTTTACCTTCATTCATTTACATACACAGTACAGAATCTGAAATCAGAACGATCAATTTTTGCTCAGATTTTTTTTTTTTTTTTTTTTTTTTTTTTTTTGCAAAAAGGGGGAGGGGGAATAAAGATTCCAAAAGTAGCATATATGCTCATGCAATGCACAGTACTTATTCACAATAATTTATGTAGAAATTCCTAATTCTTATTTTGACACTAATTAAAATTTCCATGTTGAAGAAATAAAATAATCTATTAGCTTAATATACAATTAATAATTTATTGGTTTGTAGTCACATTTTTGCTTCACGCACATCTCAAACCGATCCACTGAGTATTGCAGCAGCTTCAAAAATGACTCGTACAGAAATGCCTAAAACTGTTTCTTAGTTATAAGTAACTGAATGGCAACAACATGGTAACCTTTTACACTAATAATACACTTTGCGACGATTATTGAATCAGAGAACTGCACTTTAGCAAAAATGTCTTTCAACACACAAAAAATACGTTTCGTAAATGATATTCATAGGCCAAATGATTACATTTAGTGTTGTTTGTCTTGAGAATAATTCAATTGTTATTCAGATAAGCCTTATTACAAATAAATTATTCCCTACAAGGGAAATATTTATTTTTGAAAGACTTAAGCATATGTAAGAAACAGACATACTAAATAAGTAAACAATTACAATTCAGGCTTACATTTCACTGCATGAGATTAAAGCACGACAAAATTTAGCAGATCAACCTTTTTTAATTGCCAATCTCATGATGCATGACCAACAGTCTACAGTGGATGCTAGTTAAGCATTAATTTATGCTAAAACGAGACTACTTGAAATCTTCAGTATGGTTCTAAATATAGAAAATTTTGCTACTAATAATGAAGAAGTGATAACGATGTTGCTGAGAATTATAAAAAAAGTTTCAATTGACAATTTAGGAGAAATTCTCACCTTAGCAAATGCTAGTCTTGAAAAATGGAACTTTGTAACTTAAGATATTATGTGAAGTAACTTATATAAGAAATTTTCAATAAATCAATACTGAATTTCATATTTTTATTCCTTTAAGATCATAAATGCTTCAATGTTTCACAAACAACTATTTTATATTTTAATTTTACAATTCCGACATATCAACTTACTAGATTTAAACTAATGATCTAAAACCTGGTTAATTCTGATACCCCAACAAGTCTGAATCTCAAACTAATACATATATATGAGGGGTGTTCAAACAAAAAATATAAAATGGCTCGGTGGGTATATCTGAAGTCTTTATTCACAAGTAATCACCAGAGGCCTGAGCACAACTATCCCATTGGCGAAGCATTGCCCAAGCTGATGGATTCCCTATTCCCAGAATTCCCTAAGCTGTGACAGGAGCCAGTCCTCCACACTGTCTTTCACATCATCATTTGAATTGAATCATCATCATCTGATTATTATTATTATTTTTTTTTTTTTGGCATACCAAATACATGCAAGTTGCAGGGCTACATGTCCGGGCTGTAAGGCGGATGCTCAAGCTGCTCCCACTTGAACTTGACCCTTGCACATTGTGTGACCTTGAAGATGTTTGCTATTGTGGAATACATAACAGCCCACGCCATTTGCTCTTGATGGATTTGCATAGGCTATACAGTGTCTCAAAGTACATGTCACTGTTAACGGTTTTTCTGTGCTCGAGGAATTGTTAAGTTTCCCACTTTTTCATTGGATCACTCTTCATAGATACGACGTAGATTCATAAGGTGCATAACAGAGAAGAAAAGCCATCATAGTGGTTATTGATTGAAACATATAATTTTATTTCGTTATACAGCAAGCCTCGATACACATAAATAGAGTAACACATCATCATTACGAGGGCACTATGCATCCCGTAATTTCGTAGAACGTTGAATGGCTAAGGGAGGCTAAGCAATATATTGCCAGCAGTAAGGCAAAGTAGAAAAAAACACGGGAGTGGTACAGCAGTAGCAGTGGTACATAGAGACATGGATATCTTCGTTAAATTCTGGATTGCTGATTACATACGAGCTGTCACAATGCAGGAGGATAACATAAGTATGAAATAGAAAGACATAGCACAAAAAAATTATTATAAACAATTTGAAACAGAAACAGGAAATTAAAATGAGGAATAAAAAAGAATACTGGCAAATTAAAGTTAATAATTTCAAGCTACATATTTTATATCTTAAAAAAGCAATTAAAATTCCTCCATTTACTGTTTTATTACCAACAACATGCACTTTCCAAATTTGAAGAAAGTGAGTGAGTGAGAGATTATGGCGCAAAACCAACGATGATTATAGCGCGCCAAACACGAGAAGGGATGATTACAAATGATGAAATTAAAATACAATAATTAAAAACAAGTATACAAATGTACCAAATCTAGAGGATGAAGTCACATAAAAAAAGTTAAAAGTACACATTAAAATTCAAGACACAGTCTTCAAAACAAATTACATTAGATAATAAAAGCCAGTCTCTTTTAAATAATAAAATAAATTAATACTGACCTCTCTTCCGATTAAACGGTCAAGAGGTAAGTCACAGATATTAAAATATTTCTGACGAAGACTATTGAAACATGGACACTCAATTAAAATATGATGGACAGATAGACAAACATTACAATTTAAACATTTAGGCTCATTCTCAGCTTTTAAAAGGTAGTTATGTGTCACTCTAGTGTAGCCAATTCTGAGGCGACTCAAAAGAACTTCCTCCTTACGATTTTTGGTTAATTCACAATGCTCAATTCTAGGCTTTACATGTCTTAATTTATTTTGAAGCTGAACATCCCAAAGTTGCTGCCATTTTTTTTTTTTTGGATCTTCTGTTTCACAACACAACAGATGTCTGCAAAAGAGATGAGATGACTGGACAGTTCAACAGCACATTTCGCTGTGATATCTGCCAGATCATTCCCTTTTATTCCCACGTGCCCGGGAACCCACCAGTACAGGACTTCATATCCACGACCTGTTAAGTTTATATGTAACTTAAGAATATCCACTATTACTGGATTTGAGTGTTAGAAAAAGCTTCTAATGATTTAAGCGCACTATACGAGTCTGTATAAATTATAAACTTTTTGTGGCAGAGCCTTGAGATGTACAAGAGACTATAATATATCGCAGTTAGTTCAGATGTTAAGACAGAGAAATCACGGTACAAGCGTCTGCCCTCCATGTGATCTTCAATTACAAATGCCATCCCAACATGATCTTTTGACTTGGATCCATCTGTATAGATTGGAAGATAACTGCTATATTTGTGCCTGTGCTCAGCGAAGAGTCGTCTGTATACGATCTCGTTAGTGCTTGCCTTCACGTGATGTTTGAAAACATCAAGAAGCTGAAACCGTGAATTTTCCCAAGGTGGGATTTCAAAGTTCTGTACTGCTTGGGGGCACATATCAGAGAGGGAATGTTCCTCAATGATAGGGCGAACTCTTAAAGGAAAGGTAGGAATACAGGATGGACGTGTTTCAAATAATGTATTACACTCATTATCAGCTTATTAGGATGTTCAGGTTGAGATAGAATATTAAAATATTGCAAAAGGGACAATTGCTCACGCCTCAGATAAAGTGATGGTTCGTTAGAGTCAACATATAGGCTCTGGACAGGAGAAGTCCTGAAAGCTCCTGAACAAATCCGCAGAGCTTGATGGTGAACAGGATCCAGTTTTAACAAAACAGATGAGCAAGCGGATCCATAAACAACTGAGCCATAGTCCAGTCTAGAGCAGATAAGCACTCTGTATATGCGAAGCATGGAGCAACGCTCTGCACCCCAGGAGGTGCTCGCCAACACTTTTAAAATATTTAGTGTTTTTAGACACTTCTTTCTCAGGTTTAAAACATGAGAAAGGAAAGTCAATTTTCGATCGAACGTCATTCCTAAAAATTTTACTTCAGGCGCAACTGGAATAATTGTACCATTCAGATATACCTCAGGTTCAGGATGGAGACCATGCTTCCTACAAAAGTGCATACACACAGTTTTCTGGTTTGAAAAAGTAAATCCCTGTTTGTTTCACCATTCCTGGATCTTATTCAGAGCCATCTGCAATTGCCTCTCTATGTATCTCATGTCTGCCCCTCGACAGCTAATCTGTAAATCATCTACATATAGAGATCCCAAGATGGTGGGAGGAAGTTCTTTTAATACAGAGTTTATTTTTAGGCTGAACAGCGTTACACTAAGCACACAGCCTTGAGGCACACCCTCTTCCTGTTCAAAACCAATCGATAAAGCAGAGCCAATCCTTACTTGAAAAGTTCTATTGTACAAGAAATTCTGAATAAAAATTGGTAGGTTGCCGCACAAGCCACTCTCGTGGAGATCGCGAAGTATACCATATCTCCATGCCTTATCATAAGCTTTCTCAATGTCAAAGAATATTGAGACAAGGTGACTTCTTTCGAGAAAAGCTTTTCGAATAGATGTCTCTAAAAGAAGCATATTATCTACGGTCGTTCTTCCCTTTCGAAAACCGCTTTGATAAGGCGATATAATATTATTCTTTTCCAAGAAGTAGACTAGGCGGCTGTTTACCATCTTTTCAAACAGTTTGCATAGGCAACTCGTAAGGGCAATTGGCCGATAGTTGGAGGGATTTCTTGGATCTTTCCCTGGCTTAGCAATAGGAAAGACAACAGCTCTCCTCCATGCACTGGGAAAAGTACGCTCCTTCCACACTCTATTGTAAAGAGTGAGAAGGGCAGTCAGTGACTCATAGGACAGATGCTTTAGCATTTTGTAATTCACGCCATCAAGACCCGGACAAGACCTGTGTCTGCAATAAAGCACTCCTTAATTCAAGCATAATAAAGTCTCTATTGTAAGGCTCAGATTTGGAAGAGTTGAATGCGATGGGATTTATTTCAGAGTGATGCTTCATAGAGAGAAATGCAGGTGAATAGTTTCTGCTGGAAGAAACGGCAGCAAATGCCTCACCAATAGTATTCGCAATTTTTTCTATGGAGCTAATCACTCGGACATCTTTTTCCAAAAAGGAAAGTGAGTGGGTCTTTATATATGCCGCATGCTTTTCGAACTCTTTCCCAAACCTGCTTACTAGGCACGGAGGATGTTATTGACGACACATATGAAATCCAAGAATTCCTTTGGCTCTGCCTCCTTACTTTTCGTGCATTTGCTTTGGCTCTTTTAAATGCTATGAGGTTTCGCAGAGTAGGATATCTACGAAAAATACCCCATACTTTTTTCTGTTTTTTCAGTGCTTCATGACAGTCGCCATGGTCCACCATGGTTTTGAATATTTTAGTAGTTTTCCTGATGTTCTAGGAATGGAAAGCATAGCTGCTTGAATAATAGTATTAGTAACAGCTTCAACAACGTCATCGATATGCCCATCTTCTACCATTTGATCTGTGAGCTCTGCAATGGAAGAGTTCCCAGTCTGCCCTGTCCAGTATAAACCGAGGGAGTCTCGTCATGGGGTTTGCTCTTCTTTGTGCAAGAGACACAAAAATGGGATAATGATCACTGTTGTAAAGATCATTTCCCACATTAAAAGTGCAAAAAAGCAACAGAGATGGTGAACAGATGGCAAGGTTGAGAGCATGGAATGTCTTTGAAGGCTCATGGAAGTAAGTATCCTGCCCATTATTCAGGAGACAAAGGCTATGATCTTCAATCAATCGCTCAATTTGTCTTCCTCGGCAATTTGTATCTTTACTACTCCAGAGCGGACTATGGCCGTTAAAATTACCTATTATGATGAAAGGCTCAGGCAGCTGCTTTATAAGACCATTTAAATCTTGCTGATCAATATGCTCATTTGGAGGCAAATACAGAGAAACGACTGTAACAACAATATCAAAATTTGTTTGAGTAGCGACAACTTGGAGGGATGTCGTCAAAGAAAGCACATTTGAGGGATAATCCAGTGAGGTGAGGAGACCTACACTTAAACTGGCAAGCTCACCTGCAAGGTTATCTTTCCTGACGAAAGAAAACCTCCGAAGGTTTGCCTGTTGTTCTGGTTTTAGATTTGTTTCCTGTATTGCGAAGCATACAGGATGATAAGCATTAATTATGGCTTTGATGTTGAGCAAATTTCGGTGGAAACCGCGACAGTTTCATGAGACGAGGGTGGCCATTATGATTGGTTTTGTTCTTTCTGTGCTCTTGTTTGGTTTTTCGTGGAAGTAGATGCCTGGGAACTTCTAGACCCTCTTCTACTTCCATACTGTCTGAATCAGCAGATTCAGAAATCATTCCATCAAAAGAGCTATTGCTGGAACTTCTATTTTTGTTTGATATTTTTTTAGTGGCAGTTTTGGGTTTCCTTTGAATGACTGTTCCCTTTTTTTTGGGGGGGGTATTAAATGAGTTGAATTTTCCTTTTTCTAGTTGGATATAGTCAGTTGGGTTTTATTTGGTACAGTCTGCGTGCCTATTGATGTTTGGGTGACAATGGTACGTGTTGTTTTAACGGCACTGGGATATGATTTGTTTGATTGGAGCTGTGTGCTTTGAAGCTTTGAACTAGTTTTCTGGCTTCAGCATATGAGATGTTCCTGGTAACTTTTGCAGTCTGCACTTCTTTTTCGGATTTCCATTTTGGGCACAGGCGTGAAAATGCTGGGTGCTGACCCTTGCAATTTATACATGAAGGTGCAGCGGTACAATTTTCAGAATCATGGCCAATCTGTGAGCATCAGGCGCATGTGAGGCTGCCACGACAAGACATCTTAGAATGGCCGAAACGCTGGCATTGGAAACATCGCAAAGGGTTAGGAATAAAAGGTCTTACAGGACAATTTAAGTATCCGGCCTTAATATTCTTAAGCAGAACAGGCATGTTGAAGGTAAGGATCACATGTTTCGTGTCAATCAACTTACCTTCCTTTCGCATCTTGATCCACCTAGCACCACAGACATTTTGGTCAGCTAACTCGGAGACGAACTTTTCTTCTGAAACACACAGAAGGTCGATCTCAGAGATCACACCTCTACAAGAATTAAGTGTTTTGTGTGCTGACACAGTTATAGATATTTCTCCAAGTTTGGTTTGTCGAGAAAGAGAAGCAGACTGGGTGGTCGATATGGTATCAATAAGCAGGTCTCCAGAACGGAGACGCTTTATGTTCTTTGGCTCACCTATGCATGATTGAATGTATTTGCTTACGAGAAAAGGAGACATCTTTTGCAGTTCACCAGAAGGACTAGAGACAACAAGGAAGCGAGGATTTTCAGAAGTTTCCTTGGCATTTGAATTGGTACGGATCTTCTTGCTAATCGTTTCGTCAACAATTTCAATATCTTTGGCATTTGCATCTGTACAGTATCTTCTTCTGAATGAGATTAGTCGACAATTTCGATATCTTGGTTGATTTCATTTGACACGGGGTTGTTTTAAGGAATAAAAAGAGAAACCATGATCGAAAGAGAAAAAAATTCGGGTCCGACGGTCCCACCCACCACGGAGCCCAACAAGCGAACCACAGATTCCTGTGTTAGGGCTAGTCTGGGCCTATGCACAAAAATGAAGCCCCACAGTCGGCTTTCTCGAATGCAGGTACTCCCGAGAGCTTGACCCCAAGCCACTGACACAAGGACTAGTGACCAGCCGATTGACACCCGTGAGGACAACTAAGGTGCCTCTCGTTTAGCTGAAGCAGAGGCCAAAAGGTAAGCAGTTATTTACAAGTAATTAAATTAGGCATTAGATAACCCTCTTATTTAAAAAATCTTAGAACATAAAGGCATGTTCTGATGCTAACAAAATCAATCGCAGCTCGTGGTGATGTCATTAAACAAGAGCAATCAAAACAAGAAAAAACTAAAAATGTGAACTAAGTGGTCAAAGACTATACAATTTAATTTATGCTGGCGCTGGCTCAGTAACTCTATCATATGAGGAAATAGAAATGGGAAATTATAGTAAAGGCTGAAATCATAAACAACTGAGTAATTTACATAATAATAACTATATATATCTTTGAAGAATAATTTTCCTTATGTATTCAGTTTCTTTCTTCAACACATTTCCTTTTCATTTAGGATTTTTGGATTTAATTAAATTATTATTATTAAAAAAAAAAAAAAAAAAAAAAAAAAAAAAAAAACTAAATGCACCTAGAATGTATAGAAAAAGCTGCTAATTTTATTTTATTATTAATATGAACTGAATGAAGAAATATGAACCTTCTGAATGAAGGAATATGAAATTTATATGGAAAGGACCTACAGAGCTGGTGTGGCAGAATATTTTGGATTTAGTGACACACCAAGCTACAAAATCTTGAAATGGCAAAACGTTTAGAATTTAGAGCAGGCATTTAAAGCTGAATTTAGAAAGGCACCAGCAGAATTTAGGATCAACAAAGACTGCATCAGGTAGAATGCCTAGCGCCAGCTCTGTGTATGATGTATTAAACTTAATATTAGAAGAATCTTTTAAGTTGTCAGTTTTCAATTTCTTTATTGATAGAAAAATTCCTTTCTATAATGCCTGTCCATGAGATAAGATAAGAAGCATTTCTGATATTTTCCACGCTTGTGTCTAATGAAAAGTAGAGAAAATAAATGGAAGATAAACATGTTAAGAAAAAAATTCTGGTATCAGAAGTAGAACATTCAAATATTGTTTTCATTGTTCTTCCAGATGTGTTCTCCAAAAAGCAAGATATTCATCGCAAACTTTCTGCAAAATACATCCATTATGTGTTAATACCAAGGAGACATTTTTCATTTTGTCACATATTTCTTTAATCTTCTAGAATTGTGGGTCGATAAATCTTGCCTTCAAATCCTTCTAAACTTTTCAAGCTGCAATGTCCAACATCCTAAAGAAAAAGTATCTCTACCAATTTTGTAGCATCAAAAAGACACAAATATTTTGAAAAAAGGAAGGGAAGGAAGTGAAAAATTTATTTTATAGAGAAAAATAATGCATATTCTGAGAATTCAGAACAGTCTGATACAATTACATGGGAATGACATTTTTAATTACACAGTTAATTTTGCTTTTGCCAAGAACTGATTCCTAACTTGTACTTTATAGCATTATACCTTATTTTTCAGATTCAAAATATTGTATAATATAATAAGTTGATAAAATGAAACTTTATAATATAAAAGCAAGAAATAAAAATATTTTATTTTAATGAAATTTATCAATGTTACAATGCTTTAAAAAAAATTGTCGAAAGATTTCCAGATCTTGGAATTAAAAATTTTCTATAGTTACTTTATTAAATTTTCTACAAGTAGGACATGATGTTAAGTTTGAGAAACACATATACCAAATTAACATAATTCAAAATATTAATGTTACATACTAACATAAAGCCCATGCTTTCTTATGTAAATAATAATGTAGCAAAAAATTTCAGATTTACTTTTCATTTTGATCACCAGATGAAGCATCTTCAGGTGCCGCTGATTTCAAAGATGATGTTTTATTTCGTAGACTTAGGAATCTAAGTCCAAACTGAAATTTTTTGTTGAAAGGCTGGCAACACACTACTTTGATTCGGTCCCATTTTTCTTTAAGTGCAGCTTTGTTGAAATTATCTGGGGTAAAAATACAACATATATAATATATATATATATATAGAACCTAAATAAATTAATAAGAAATTGATTATATACATGTGGTGGAACTTTTAAGTAGCAGCAGTAATGCTGTATATATACTATAAACACTTACACCTCGTAGTTCAATATCTAACCCGACTTATAGTGAATATGTTCTTAAAACAAGAGCAGCAAATTCAATAAAGATGGAATACAGCTGTACAGCACAACAGCGCCATCAAGGACTCCACTAGGCATGTGGGGAAACTGCATTATCTTAGAGAACTGTGGCACTAGACGATTCTTAAGTTAGGCCAAGAAACAAGATCATTCCATAAAACTGTAGTTATATTCTGTAGGAACATAGAGCCATGAGAAAAAATGCACTGTAAAAAGTTCTGCCCTTTTTGAACGAAATACATAAATGGTTACAACATGACACTGCTTAAACCCTCCTGAAGCTTTAATAAATGTGAAGAACAGACTTTCTAATGTTGTAGCATTAAGCTAAATGTGACCCAGGCCAGACAGTGCAAGCAAAAATCGAAACACCAATCTAACAAATGGCATTATGGTTCACTAGAAAAATCAAAAGTTCATCAGAACCCCAGCAGTGTGAATGAAATATCAATACTTTATGATAAGTACATCAGAATCACGAACTGTGACTGAGGTGATGAGAACATGCAGTATAACTTGCAGCAAATTTGTTCACTGTGGGGTTGGAAAGTGCTTTATCATCCATCACGCTACCAGAAATTAAACCCAAGGGATTTTGATTTGATTCCTAAGAAAAGAGAACACTAACAGCCATTTGTTTCTGAATTGCTCCAGAGACTCACTTGGCAATATACTACTCCATGCATACCCTCAAAAGAACTGGTGCTGCTAAAAATTTAATATGACTTACATGATACTGGCAACAGGTTGTATATAATGCTGGTGAATATATCAAGGATATATAACACCAAGATGAAAATCTTATGACTGTATCGTGATATCACATCTATCCATTAATGGCACTAAATCAGACTATTTGGCAACAGTGTCCTGTACATGCTTTCCAGTGGCTACTAATCTCCTATCAGCTTAATTTTTTAGAAAGGGATGAGGAAAAGTTTTTGAAATTCTAAAACATTCAGGTACGTTGAATGCTACATAAGCCCCCTTCTAAGAACAGCACGAAACATTATTCTGGTTCACTGCATCTAACACAAAGGTTTCAGTACATTTGTGAAAGTCTAGGTTTTATAAAGGTGTGGATACCTTTATACAGTTTCCATTTTTCATAAACGTGCCACCACCTTTCTGCAAGTGAAATGAATTTGCATAAAGGTGTGAAAATTTTATTTCCCTCCCTGTTTAATGAATTGGTAATACAAACAAAAACTGCACTTGCCTAGCAGTGCTCAGGCATAAAAGTGCCAGTACCCTTCCTTACAAAAGTTGCTTTTTTCAAATTAGAAACTATCTTACGGGTTGGGTATCTTTATTTCATGGCATTCTGATAAAGGTTTCCACCTTTCTGACACTGGCCACCCTGTATAAGGGCGCAGGCACTTCTGTGATAAGGCCCCCTTTTGGTGGTGTTCATGAACGAGGGGAGAGCGAGACATTTGACAAAAACAAAATGATAATATAGCAAATACAGGGGTTGGACACAATTATGGAAACACCTTGAAAAAAACATGTTTCTTTGCTTAATATGGTGTAGGAAACCCGTTGGCATCCAAAACAGCTTGCAGTCTTCTCGGAATGGATAAATACAGTTCCTGTATGTTTACCAAGGGAATATTATACCATTCTTCCTGCAAAACGGTGGCAAGTTCAGATAACGATGTTGGCAGTGGATAACGAGAATGCACTTTCCGTTATAATGTAGACCACAAAGGTTCGATAATATTCAGGTCTGGTGACTGTGGTGGCCAGGGGAGATGGGACAACTCCTCCTCGTGCTCAGAAAACCAGTCTTGGACAATGTGAGCTGTGTGAACAGGAGCGTTTTGTCGTCTTGGAAGACACCATCGGGGAACAAAGTTTGTACCATGGGATGAACTTGATCTGCCAAAATGTTCACATAAGTCTTGGCAGTCATGTGTCCTGATACAGTTATCATGGGGCTAGCAGAGAACCACGATATGGCTACCCAAACCATAACAGAAACCCCGCCATGTTTCACTCTTGGCAACAAGCAGTCTGTATTATAGGCTTGAGATGGCGTTCTCCAGACGTAAACTCGGCCAGAAGTGGGAAACAATGTGAAAGAAGACTCGTCAGACATATTACGTACTCGCTTCCACTGCTCTATAGTCCAGGCTTTATGACTTAAACACCACCTTTTCCTGTTACGGGCATTAGCATCACTGATGAGTGGCTTCTCAATTGCAGCACGGCCAGCAATTCCCTGTTTATAAAGCTCCCTTCTAATTGTTTTGGTACTCACAGGGTTCGGTAACACAACATTCATTTCAGCAGTAACTTTTGCAACTGTGGTCTTCTTATTTTTCGTCACAATTGCCCTTAATGATCGTCTGTCACGATCACTCAGGACACACTTTCGTCCGCGCCGTAATTTAGCAGATGATGTTTTTCCGCTTTTCAAATATGCGGAATAAATCTTCGATACAGTACCTCTTGAAACACTAAACACCTCGGCTACCTTGCTTACGGAAGCACCTACCATACGTGCTCCAACAATTTGCCCACGTTCGAAGTCTGTTAACTCTGACATAATGCAATGACAACCTCAAATAACATTACTCTGACAACAACTGAACTGTTTAGCACATTTACGAAGTTGTATAAGTGGCATCAGTAGTCAAAAACGCCAGCGCCACCTATATATTTCATTAAAATCAATCTTTCTTTTCAAACATGCATTTCACAAGGTGTTTCCATATTTTTGTCCATCCACTGTATATTTTAATAATCAACTTAATATTAACAAAATATTAACAAAAATGGCATATCTATTTTAATTACAAATTATAAAAAGTAGATTACTTCAATATTATTATGCTCGAAAATTCTACAACATTAAAACAGCATCAACTAGAAAATACATTCCAAAAGATGCATATTAGAATTAAAGATGTATGATTATTTGATTCTGTTTGGAAAAAATAAAGCTTTATACAATGCAAAAAGATATAATGAACAATCATGCATGTTCTACACATGGCAGCAAAGTGGGAGTTGCTAAAAAAGTGGTTATTGTAACACTTATGGGGAAAAACCAGGATTGTACAAAAGATATGTACTGGGCCATCAAGAACTTTAAGATACAACACTCAAATTTTAATAACATAATATTAAAAAATTATTAACCAAAAAATTATGAAAATTTTTCAATTTTTTTAAACAAAACTTTTTTTTTTCATGAACTTTCAATGTAAGCATTTGCCTGAATAGTCAGTCTGATGTATTATAAAGTGGATACAGTACAAAGGCTTGAAAATAAACTGTCAGCTCACTAACATTTTTCACTAAAAGACAAATTTAGTCACTTGATATTATCATGGGAACCAATGTATGTAGACCACAACCCAGTCTTAAATTAAAACACAAACTGGATCATCGCATTTTTTAAAATACAAGTTGAACCTCACAAAAAATGGGATGATGATGCTAAAGGTAAAGTGAAACCTTCAATCACGAACATATTTTCCACAAAAAATTTCTTGGATGACAAACAATATCTTGAGAAAAGTAAACTGACAAACAAATGATATTCCAAAATGCAGCAGAGAAAATGTTTTCAGAAGATTTTTAGTTACCTGATTTGTGAAATTTGTACAAAATGGGATAAAAATGCAAAGGTTCATATAACATTATCACCCTGATAAAGGAGTAGTAAGTCGTAGCATAAATATTTGAAATAATTTGACAATGCCATGTCTTGCTTAAGGAACATTTTAAAAGTCGAATGCGTCAAGGCCAATTCATTCTCGAGTAGAGGCGAGAGATGTCAAGAGAAAGAGAAAATGCAAAAATGCACCAGAAGAACAAAAGCTACCTGATATTTTTATCGAACAAGATTTGTTTCAAACAAAAACATTTTGTACGTTTAGCTTCTTTAACATTTTCTATTTATATCATCAACTTTCCTTTGTACATGTTTGGTACAATTTAACTCAAATTATCTTATTTTTTATATCCTTAATAGTGTGTATGTGTTAGATTTAATGAATTCAACTGGTTTTGCATCATGAATTTACATACAAAATACTCTTTTCGAAGCAATCATATGGGATCCACAAAAGGGATCAACTTACTTTACATTAAATCCTATCAGAAATTTTTTTTTAGTTTATGAATATTGTGGGTCATGAACTATCTTCAAGAACTATTTAAGTTCATTAACAAAGGTTTCACTGTACTATAAATATTTATGAACAGTCATTTAGTAAGATTCGAGTTACATTGATAATGCAATATATCAGTAAAATACTCGTCTTTGCTGTTTTCCTGACAACTGCTGTTTTATAAATAGCATTGCCACAGAAATTAAACGATTTGTCTTTTGTTTATCATATTAATAATTTAGCACACAATTAGAAAATGTTTTAAAATTATTATACACATAATTATTACACATATAATTTTAAAAATTAAATAATGAAAGTTAAAAATGTATTATTGTGAGATATCTCTTGCAGATTACAGTTCAAAATTAAAACCACATTGAACTACCTTTAAGGAAATGAGCCAAAAAATCTAATATGAAAAAAATTAATAGTGATCCAAGTTGAAATCTTTATCACTCAACGAGACATTTCTAACCCTTTTAATTTCTTTTCCTCAGCCTTTTTACTTAAAAAAATATATTATGTGCAGCATTTAATTTTACTTACATTCATTGAACATATAGACAGCATGTCGTTCTTCGCCTTCCTTTACCTTAGCCAAAGACAGCAAGGTTACAGCTGGTAGAAAGCTAATATACTCTCCATGTTCTCCAAAAGATGATCTACTTACTTGGATTTCAACTGTGCTGCTGCCAAAATTTCCTAATTTAATAAATAAAGAAATAAATAAAGGGGAAGGAAAAAAACCCCACCAATTTACAAATTAAGTTTGATGAGATGATTGTTTGAGAGAATTTTCAGCATTTTGAAATTAAAACGTACCAAGATCAATGAAGTGAATGTAACTTGCTTTCTCTAACTGGAATTCTGCTTCAAGACGGCCTGATAATGGAGAGGGACGTAATATATTTTCAACACAAAATACGTCATCCTAAAAATTTACATCACACAAATAATAATTATATTAATATATATAATAATTATATTAGAAATACAATTTGTGAATGCATTATTCCAAGAAATAAGGAGGTTAAAATTAAGCAAATATTAGAAAAGCATAAAATGATTGAAGATAAAATTAAACTTCAAAATGTGCATTCATGTTATTTTAACATGCATCCAAACAGCCAGGATTTTAGTACAGCTAGAAGCATCTTTTTAGCACATTAAACCCTCTGAGCATTATGGCATATGATCCTAAAGTTTCATGTCATGTATAAGTGGTAATCTTTTTGTTTTAATTTTGAAATGACCCTCTCACTTAGTACTGTTGATTATTTTTCTTTCATTATATATCCAGTTCGAAATTGGATCCATCAATAACTGGCAAAAATTTTCGTCTGTAATGAATTAGTAATTTTTCTATGTGGAATTTTATGTAATAACAGTTAGAAGATTAAAGGTTTCATTTCTAAAGAGTAAAAAAAGCTTTTCTACAGAAAGCATATACAGTCAGAAGTCGTTAATTCGGACACCCATAATTCGGAATGATCTATAATCCGGACCTCAAAACTAAAAACTTTCTGCGCATGCGCCGCGTTGACACATGCGCATAGGCGTTTGCGCGTGCGCGTAAGACCTTTTACGACTGCGCATATGAGTGTGCGCAAGTGCAGAATACGTTTTCGCGTGCGCGTTTTATGTATAATGGACGTATAAGCTAAAATTATCTAATTTCTATTTCAGTTAATGTTGATGATTGCGTTGTTCCTTAATTTTCGAATTGGATCCGGCTTATTATTTTTTTTGCAGACTGTAAGAGCAATTTTAATAAAGTAAGCTTAAACTTTCGATTATATCAAATAGAATTTCCGATATATATTTGTTAATATGTAAAGGATCTAAAAGCGAAAGTATGTTTTGAAATCCGAAATCTGTTTATCAATTTCACGCTGCTCGGGGGGGAACGCCGCGACGTAATGAATTGGAAGTTGATCTGTCAGCACTATCCTTATCTTCAGCGCAGATGTTTTTTTATTTATTTGGCTTATAATTCTTTACCAAATGTAGTATTTCATCTCGATATGCTCCGTTTTTGATATGATTTAAAACAAGTTCCTCGTCATTATAATTCGCTTCCGATAGCGAAGAAAAGTGACAGAGGTTATTGAAAACAAAAAAATTTCGATTGACAAATTAGTCGGTGTTCTCGACACAGCAATTATAGGACTTGAACAGCGGAACTTTGTAACTGAACAAGAAATTATGTCTGTTTAATAGAATTAAAGAGAAAGTATTATCACATGAAACGAGAAGCAAAACTTAAACAACTTACATTGAAAGAAATGTTTAATAAAGTAAACAAATAAATATTAAGCTTTTTCTTTTTGCAAATTTTGATACCCTTTAGATCATAATTGTTCTTTATTTCATAAATTACGGTTTCATATTTTTAATTTTAGAATTTCTGCATGCCATCTTACGAGATTTAAACTGATGATCTATAATCCGGAAAAATCGATAATCCGGAATCGCCGAAGTCCCGGCGAGTCCGGATTAACGACTTTTGACTGTAATACTACATTCTCAGGTTTCACATGCAAGCTTTCAAATAAATTGTGATGATAAAAATATAATCTTTATTGAAACTTAAAAAGCTGCATACACAGTGCTATCATTACGTCAAAGATACATCTAGCATCTCTGAACACAATACTAGAAGATTCTCTAAAATAAAGCACATGTGCAACATCTAAGTAAGGGATTTAGTGATCAAAACACAATCTGCAAATTAACCAATGTCTGACAACAAATCCCTTACTGAATAAGAGGAGTCAGTAGGCACACTTAATTTACTAAGCATAAAATTTTTTATGTAAGGTGCTAACAGAAACAAGAGTTTGCAGAGGTCTTCATATTTCAGTTCCTGCAGGCCTGAAAGAAGTAGAAGCAGCACCAAATTTTCTAACTTCAAAAGACACATTAATACGATCACAAAGCAAATTATATTTAGTATCAAAATTTAAATGATTAATAAAACTAAAACAAAGTCTGCTGTATTATAAATACATAAATAAAATAATGCTGCAAATGTTCATAAAAATTATCATTTTCGTGTATTATAAATAATATCAAGCAGATGCATTACTAAAATTTAACATATTTAAATTATTTAATTTTTGACTGCTTTAAAATTCCTTGTTTTTTAATGGACAGAATTAAAATTTTAATATAATGAATTAAATATTAAGCAGTGTTAAAAGACAACACTTTACAAGACAGCATGGAAAATAAAGATCTTACGTTTCAAGCAATGTATGAAACACAAGATCATGAGGATCACAGATGTATAGTAGCAAAACATAACAATAATGTAACAGTTAAAAAAAATTTTTGGAGATTCCACCAGACATTTCTAATGTCAAACATATTTTTTAATGTTTTTTGTACTGTTAACAAGTTGATTAAAAAACTGCAATGCACTGCAGTGTTCTTAATACTGCACGAGTTTTGTTCATAATAATAGTAAAATGATTATGCACTGATAACTGGAAAGAAATTGCTTAATAAAAGGCAGATTGAAAGAAATTCTCAGCATATATTCATCACAGGCCATACTTTTAAAAAACACTACAAGCTTAGATAAATCATCAACAATAAATTGATATGTCAACAACTGAGGATGTCAGCCACATAGAATGTTCAGAAAAGGCAGCTAGATGGCTTAACTTTAATAAATTTTCTCAAAATAATGTGAAGAATTCCATGGAAACAATTTCACCACAGAATGTCAAACACTTTCTTAAACACAAAACTGAAGTTTTTATACAGTCCTCATAGAGCAGAACATTCATTTAATAAAAAGTTTATTGTGTGTAAAAGTTGTCCGTTGGCGAAATGATGCTCAATAAAAATTAGTTGCTAGATCACTTCAAGCACCACTAGTCTTAAAAAACCTCATGTTTTTAATACCATAGTCCAATACATTGGTAAATTAACACCTGCCTTATTTTCATTGTAATGAATTTGTTTTTTTACACATAGGCCATGTTTATTCTGCATGGCATAATGCTTTTCAGCCTAAAGGTTCACAGAAACTGAAATATCTCCTGCAATTTAACTTATTTATGTGGAATAAAAAGCAAGCTATTTTGAAAAGCATGGGCTAGAGCAGGGGTGAGCAACACACAGCCCATTAAACATTTTTATGCAGCTCGCCAAGCATTTCTAAAATTTAATTTATTTTATCAACTTTCTCCCATCAATATATTGTTATAAAAATAATTATAAAATGGTAGTACATACTTAACCGAAACAATTTCTTATGAAGAGTTACTAACTTGTCGGCGACTTGTTCAAACATGCAAAATACGAACGCGTCTCGTCTGTGCTTGTTTGTGTTTGCTTCTGCCATACAATCAATCAGACTGGCAAGCTGTTAATTAGCAATTTTAGCAATTCTTGTGTTTCTTGAGGCGTGAGTGCAATATTAGGTACTTTTCCGTTTTGCCGGCGCAGGCGATAAAGTCGCCAATAAAGGTACAACCGATGCCAAACGAAATATTCTCGCTGGTAACCTTTTACGTCTCATTTTCAAAAGAAGTGCAGCTTTTTCTTATCAGATCGATTGCTTTTTTCAATACTGGCATATAATTGCATAGAATTTTTATCAGATAGTTCGGTTTCATGTCTAAGGCCATTTTCGGTAATTAAGTCAATTAGGATGCAATCACAGCGTTTATCCGATGCCGAAAATATAGAAAAGGTAAAGTCAAGGGTTAAATTCAATTCTAATGAGAATGCATTAGTGAAGTAAAGCACTGCAGTTTTACATAATTTCTAAGTAAGCTATTCATACGAATTGAAATATTTCTTGCATTTAATCTTATGTTCCAAATTAAGATTTAACTTGAAATTAATGTAGATAATTACTGAGAGCATTAGATTTTTGTAGAGTAGTTTACGTGAGATGAGATCGCTTGGAGTCACGTGATATGAACCGGCGAATCAGGATGTTGAACCATGAAAGCATAGTAAATTCTTAAATTAATGTCTTTTTACAAATTTATTGTCTTTATTTATTGCCTTTTTATAAAATTTTAAGCGATATTAAAATGTTTATGCCTTCAAAAAAAGAATTCTTAGAACTAACATTTTTTAAAATATTTTTTTGTGTATACTGTATGTTGTCGCCAATAAAGTCTGCTTGGCGAGATTTGCGCCGGCTAAACGGAAAAGTACCCAATATTATTGTCAAAAATAATGTGTCTCACTTTCCACATTTACAAAAAGAAAACATTACTACTACTCGAAAATACGCACAATATATAGACATTTTAATCAATGAATTTCAATTACGATTCCAAATGTTCAAAGCTGAGAAGACAGTGGTTTTCATGAAAATGTTTTCCTCACCATTTAATATCGATGTGGATACAGTTCCCGAAGACCTTCAAATGGAAGTGATTGACATGCAGAATAATACCGATTTAAAAAATGTATTCTGCTCAGTAAACATCGAAAATTTTGATAAATCTTATGTGAGCCCTGAGAAATTTCCGCTTTTGACGAAAAATGCAAAGCAAATGATGTCTCTGTTCGGAAGTACGTATGTTTGCGAAAAATTATTTTCAACCATGAAATTAATCAAAAACGACCACTGATCAAGACTGAGTGATGCACGATTAGAAAGCTGAGTACGTGTAGCTACCTCATGAATTCCGGCTGATACTGATCAGCTTGTATCGACAGAACAGTACCAAATTTCTCATTAAATATTTCAAGTAAATTTGTTTTTCTTTTCTTGTTTGTTTTTATTTTGCATTAAAATTTGTATTTGAAATCTTTACTTTTTCTAAAATTTTATATTTTTTATTCTAATGTTTATTATAAATAAAGTTTTGTAGATCATTAATAAGTGTTACTTTATGTGCGGCCCACC